CATCTATTAACACTAAATTTGATAGTGGGTTAGGGAGAATTCACTTTTACTAGTGCTACTACCTATTTAGATGCATCAGAATATTTTATAATCGAATCAAGTTAAAAAAGACATAAAGTCAGGGATTTATTAGTTGATAATGTTGTTCAAAGACCCAACCACAAGGTCACTGTGGTACTGATCAAAAAGATAGTTATCATACATAGAGTATAAGGTAGTATACATTATCATGTCACACATTATACAATATAGTTGCTAATCTTATTTAGTAGAATGTAGTTTGGGCGAGATGAGTTTTATTTATTTTAATTTATTATTTTAGTTTTGATTTTATAGATATTTAGATATTTGAATTTTATATAATTTTTATTTTTTTGTGTAGAGAAGGTCTGATAAGAATAAAAACAGAAGTTTTGGGATTTAATTACAAAATTTTTAAAAGTTGAGGGACTATATTTTAATGAAAAATGCTGAAGAAAATGTAAACTAGTTTTTGGATCAAAGTGCTCACAAATTATCTAATATAGTTTAATAGTAAGTTTTTTTTATAGATATAAAAAATTTTAAATTTAAATTTATAACATGCATATATAGTAAGTTAGTTAAGAGATGAAAAAGAGATAACAGAGTATTGCAATCGAAAATCAAAAAAATCAAAAAATGCTCACAACACAAGTGTCGACACCAAAACTGACACCAAAACTATGGCATCAACACCCTAAGCAATTTTCAGCAACTTACAAAAGGCTAAAAAGGTGATCCAAGATATACCAACGTGCTGTTGGCCAAAATGAAAAGATTGAGTCGGATTTGTACTTTTAGATAACAAAAGGTTTAATACTTAAAAAATCCAAGTAATTCAAGGCATTAATGGGACTAGCCTTTTATATATTTTGTTGATGGAATAAGATTCACATTTCTTAACTTGAAATGTTTCTAAATAAATACACAAATAACTTAGCAAAGCAGCAAAATGAAAAGAAAACAGCAATGTTTGGCAGATATTTCATTCCCTTTCTTACTTACTTAAGTCTTTCTTCTTTTTATTCTTTGAGTGCTATCTAAAGGAAATTCCAAACGGACTCTGAGCATATTCTTCAAGGGAGAGCTGACCAGAGGCTCCTCTCCGAGCACCGGAATCTTAGAATCACGTATGAAACAAACCGGTAAACCAAGATGAAGCACACCATGATCATTAGATTCTTCCACCTGCTTTCTTCACCGTAGCCTGCTTCTCTCAGCATATTCTCCCCCGTTACCAAACAACTTCCAAACATGTACTCCAAGCACTTACCTGACCTTGAGAACTCATTTATTAGGAACCCTTCAAATGGATACTTGAACAGAGACATGTAATGCATGAAAATCCAGTGACCAGGGATCTCATGTTTCGATATGAAGTAACCAGAGAAGAGGAAGAAGGATCCCATTACACCGGAGATGACTGAGTTTCCGACGATGAAATTTGGCACCAGGGCGCTGAAACATACCACAACAGAATTGGCAGTGTAGAGAATTAACCAGATCAACAGCAGGAAGTGCATGAAGGCCATGAAATTTGGGTTCAATCCCACAAGCCAGTACAATGGAATGGTGAACAGAACTGCTAGGATGAGAAGGAATGGTAGATAAACAAGGCCATTTGCAATGGCATACGTGGAAACTCTGTAGCTTCCACAAGATGTCTCTTTCATGAGAATTTCCCTTTCTTGAAGAAAGACTGGGAGTGCTTCTGTTGTGCATGATAGCAAGAATGTTAGTACGAAGGCAAACAGACCCACCTTTTCCTCTGCTCCAGTGAGATCGTCTTTGACATTGTGAAAGATGGAGCCCAAAACAAGCCCTGAAATCAGCATCTGAATTGTCCGACATGCGAAGAGCTCCTTCGTTCTGAAAATGTTCTTGGAGAATCTGTGACTGAGGATAATGGTTTCTCGGAATCTTGAATTGGCAAAATCCATTGGAAAGTCAATCCCAGTTTTGATAATTTCTCCTCCCAAACCATTGGATTGGTGAAATAGCTGCTGCAGGGTGAACTTGCTAGCTCTGCTCTCGAAGGTTTCTTCACCTTTCCTCTGTTGTGAGGAAGCTTGTGTTGGCGCTTCCAGATGCATCTTTTTCTGCTGTTGAACAGTTTCAATAGACTCAATGGCAAATTCCACGATATTTACCTGCAGAGGAAGCTGCAGACCCATCTCCCTCAAGCTGCCTCCGAGCTGTTCCACAGTACCATGATGCAGAACTGAGCCATTAGCCAACAGAAGAATGGAATTGAACAACTTCACAATTCGAAAACCAGGCTGATGAATGCTTAAGATTATGGTTCTTCCCCTGGTTTCAGCCATAACTTTCAACATGTCAATAACTAGCAGCGCAGATGTGCTATCAAGGCCTGAAGTGGGTTCATCAAGAATCAGCACTTTCGGGTCGTGTATCACATCGACTCCAATGGAAACCCGGCGCCTTTCCCCTCCAGATATCCCACGGACCCTATCATCTCCAACCTGAGTCATGGCTACATGCTCCAGTCCCAGTTCTTGGATCAGGGACTTTACTATAGATCTGAGTTGAGGTTCTGGTAGCCCCAGACGCAGCTTGGCGCTGAACATGAGAGTTTCCTCAACGGTAAGGAGGGGAAAGAGGCTGTCTTTCTGGGTGACATAGCCAGAAATCTTCCTGAACTGAGCTCTGTCCACAGGGCTTTGATTGACAAAAACAGAACCACTTTGTGGGACAAGTTTCCCAGACAGGATCTCCAAAAAAGAAGATTTCCCTGCTCCACTAGGACCAACAATGGCTAGGATTTCCCGTGGTTTTGCTATGCAATTCACATCCTTCAAAACTCGCCGGACCCCAATCACCGGAGTACAAGCTTCTTCAACCTTCAATGAATTCGGCAACTGAAGTTCTTGATCAAATTCTTTCTGCTTATTTTTTTTGAAGAATCTAAAAGGGTTTGTTCTCTCATGAATGCAGATGCTGTAGTTGATGCCAATTGCTTCAATTTCACACCCATGTTTCTCCATTGAAAAATTCCTCTATTTTCCTCTTCCTCTTATCTCTTTGTTCATCCTGTAACTTCTTCAAAATCTCAATCAGAACTAACACTAAATAATTGATCACTAAAATGTTTTCCAAAACAATGGATCAGGTAATCACACATTTTCTCAACAACCAAACAGAAATGATTTACATAAAAATAAAAATAACGTGGTTAAGTTCCTCAGGAAGACTTAAAATTTCCAAATCCTTCACTATTCCACAACACTTTCTCAGCTACCAAACAAGAAGGAATTACATAAAACAATAACGAATCACACTGTTAAGTATATATCCAGAGAAAATTTACAACTTTAAATCCATCAATACTTTCCTAAATTTTCTCAGCAAACCAAACACACAGAGGAAAAAAAAAATAGCTCCTAAGGAAACAGAGACTAAACAAGCCTATATGCATTAACACATCATGAAGTCAAAAACCTAAGAACCAAGTAAACGAAAACGACGCATGAATAAGAAATGAAAGATGATTTGAAGATAACCTTAGGTAAGCGGCGAGAACAGAGAAGGGGAAGAATGTGGAAGCTGTAGGCTCCTGGCTGCTAACCACTGGGTGGAAGGTGGGGAGATGAGGAAGAGAACCACGAATTATTTGTTCATGGAAAGTGGAATATATTGACGCTCGTGAACCCACCCACCTGGCCCACGAACTGAATTTGAGGCTCGTGAAGGCTAACAAATCCAAATGTGTGGCTGTAAAACAAACTCGCTAATTTTTAAAGGCAAAACTTACTTTTAAGCTCCTGCATTTTTCTCGTTTTCTCACATAGGTCCTTAGAGGAAAAAATGTGGCAGGTAGATTGTTGAACATCTTAATCTTAGTCAATCAGTATTCATATTAACAGTAATAATCACAACTGTCATATAATAATTTTTTTGTCACATCAGTGTTAGATGTAAAAAGAATGCCATGAAAAAAAAAAAAAAACAGTTTAACTTATATTATAACAAAGGATTAAAATCAATAATCAGTTAGTTTAAGTGGAAGGAATTCAATTCCATTTAAATAAAATTTTGAGTTCGAGTCTTAAAAAAAAAACTTGGTGTTTAACTCTTGGATTTTTCAAAAATGTAGTAGGTAAATTTTTGAACATCGTAATCTTAGTCAATTAGTATTTATATTAACAATAATAACCACAATTGTCATATAATATTTTTTTTGTCACATCAATGTTTAGATGTAAAAGAATGCCACAAAAGAAGAAAAATAAACAACCATTTAACTTACATTACAACAAGGGATTGGAATGCTAAGAACTTATATATTACTTTTTTAGGGTTTTTGTGAAAAAACAAGGAAAGTACATGGATTAACACTCAGTTTTGCCTTTTAAAGTTGTGGCTGAGTTATATATATTATATATATATTGGTCCACAATAAGTCCTTACAGGAAAAAAAAATGTGGCAGGGAAATTTTTAAATGTCTTAATCTTAGTCAATTAATCTTTATATTAATAGTAATAATCACTACTATCACATAATATTTTTTTTGTCACATCAGTGTTTAGCTGTAAAGAGAATGCCACAAAAGAAAAAAAGGAAAACGACAACCATTCAACTTACATTACGACAAGGGATTGGAATGCTAAGGACTTATTCATTACCTTTTTTTAGGGTTTATGTGAAAAAATAAGAAAAGTACAGGGATTAATACTAAGGTTTGCCTTTTTAAAGGCGTGGTTGAGAGTTTTTTTCCTTTTTAATATTAGTTGGATAACCATAAGTAATTATTTTTTATTTTTTTTATTCATCACACTCATATATCATATATGAATTTAATTTATTTTAAAATTTTAATAATAAGTTTTTCTAACATAGAGAAGAATATTTTTTATAAATATATGTAATGAAAATTAATATTAATTTTAGTATTGATATCAATAGAATAAATTTAATTAAATAATTAATAAATAAAGATAAATTTTTATTTTTTTAATATAAATGTATAAAATATATATATTTATTACAATCTTTATAATTAATGTACACTTAAATTTTCAACATAATTTTTAAATTTTAAAAGAGATTAGTGTTTACTCATTGAATTTTGAAAATAATAAAAAAATACATTAAAACTACATCATTAATAAACAGTCACACGAAAATATTAAAATAATCCCATTATTACTTTAAAAATATGTTATTTTAATTCTTTAATAAATATTTATTAAGAAACATAATTTTAAAATATTTTTTCTTAATTTTTTAAACATCAAACTAGTAAATAATTTTCATTTTTTTAAATACGTAGCTAAAAGTTATTGTTAAAGTTAGTTAAACTTATTAATCAATGTAAGGTAGCTATATTCTTTTTAACATGATTCATAAATTTTTTAAAATGATATAATTATAATATTATATAATATTATAAACTTATAATATGATATATTATTGTATAATTTTAATTTTTTACTTAGAGTTTACCTATAAATATATACCTACTCATTTAATAATATATTACATTTATTTAATATAACATGATAAATCATTTTATAATTATAGCTCTTTTTACTTAAAATTTACTTATAAATGTATATTTCAGTAAAGTGCGCATCAATCCTACATCTCAAAAAAAATTTGGAGTCCCAACCAAAACAGCGTCGTTTTCCTCTAAAAAAACCCAATCCTGTTGTTCGTCTTTTCTCTTAAAAATTCCAACCCCTACTCCTCGCCTCCTCCATTCCTTCAATTTTTCACTCAAAAAACCCACTAGTAATGTCACCCCCTCTACAATCATCTCCATCTCTCCCTTTCCCCCATTTCCCTCATGTGAGGTTGAGGTGATTAGAAGCCAAGAAACATAATCACACCTCCTAACGAGCTCGAAGTGCCATAGAACAAAAGAAATTGAGATTTATGTTCCTTTGTCACATGAGCTTGAGGGAGTTGTGAACCAATTTATTTGGGTTTTGCAAGTTTGGTTGCTGTGATTGTGGTTATAATAGTGTTGAAATTGAATGATGAGAATTGAAATTGCAATTTTAGTTATAATAGAGGAAACCCAGATTTGGGTTTCTTTTCTAGGTTTGCTTTTGAATGGTCTAGCCATGGTTGCTTTCATCATTTCCTCTCATTTCCATATAGATTTTGGAAACCCAAATCTAGGTTTGTTAATTTATTTTAAATCGTCTCCATCTCCTTTATTTTAATTCATTTCCATATAGATTTTGCTTTCTTCAGCCCCTGCTCCTCACCTCCTTCGACAACCATCTCCATCTCCTTCTTCACTCTTCTACAATCATCTCAATCGCCTCCTCATCTCCCCAACTCCTCTAATTCCTTCAATTTTTCAAACACAATCACACGTCGTCAACCCAACTCTGTCGTTGCAATTCATCATCTCTGATAATCGAGGGACGATAAGTGCTTTGTTGGGTCTCTTTTTTTACAAGTTTTCAATGATTGCGGAGGGGGCGAAAAAGGAGATGGAGATGATTGTAGAGGGGGCAACAGCGGGGGCTGGGTTTTTGAGTGCAAAATTGAAGGGATCGGGGATGCGATGTTGGATTTCGTTTGCATAAATTTAGGGAAATCGGTGGTCCTTATTCTTATCATTTCTGGAATTGTGGTCCCTTTACTTCCTTCTTACAATCCTCATAATTTGTTTGGCACTTTGTTCATATTGGAGATGATGAAGATGATTGTAGAAGGGGCTTAAAGGAGATGGAGATTATTGCGGAAGGGACGAAAAAGAGCTGTGGCTAGAGATTAAGAAACGACGTCGTTTTTGTTGGGATTCCATTTTTTTTTTGAGAGGTAGAATTAATGCGTACTTTTCTGTATATATTTACTCATTTAATAATATTATTTAATATAATATTATAATTATAAACTTATAATCTTTTTCATATTATAACTATAGCACCATTAATAAATTTTACTGCCAAGACCAACCATTTGCTAGTTTGAGTAGAAAAAATTTGATTTTTATTTAAAGGCTTGTTTAAATTTTATAAATTAAAAAATAAGTATTATGAGAATTTTGACCTTATGAAATTTAATGTGAATTAATTCTAAATTAATTGAATTTTAATATGATTTTTAGACACCGAAAGATTAATAAAAAAAATAAGTTTTACTGCCAAGAGCTTTCGCCTTTTTTTTTTTTCTTGGAGTTTACTTTATCAAAAATGTTTTTTTTTTTTTAATTTTTGCTACACTGCGTGGTATTTACTATTTTGGCACTCTTATTGTCCGAATTTTATTTTTATGCAGTTCATGGTGGAAAAACACCGTACTTTCATTTTATTTACATTTACAGTCAAGAAAAAAATGTTAAATTTTATAAAAAAAAATGAGTACAGGGAAGAAAAAAAAAGAAGAAGCAAATAAATATGCCAATTTTATATTTTTTATTTTAAAATATTAATTTTATTTTTAAAATTAAAATATTAAATTTTAAGTTTTTTTATTTAAAAATATCAATTTTTATATTTTTTACTTAAAAATATTAATTTTTATTTTTTTAAGAATATTAATTTTAATATTTTAATTAAAAAATTTATTGATCAGGATAATATTATTATTAAATTAATTTTTAAATAAAAAATAAAAAATTAATATTTTTATTTAAAAACTAACCAAAACAAATAATTTTAAATAAAAAAAATGCAAAATTCACGTAGCTTCTCTCGCACGTGGAAACTCAGAAATTGAAGTACTTGGGGAAAGGACTGAACTCACAAGTTTTACATCCTTCTTTCAATGGAGCTCTCACTTTCTTGTTCATCTTCTCTTGGAATTTCAGCTTTAAGTTCTGGCTGTAACGCCACATGTGCTCAACACAAAATAATACCCATTAAACCCAATGGTAAATGTTGGCGTTTGCCATTGAAATGCTCCAAGAATTTGCAGTCACTTGGTCTCTACAGAAGCAGAAGCTGCAAAGAGTATTTGCCGAACAGGCACTATAGGCACAATTCCATCCGGGTATGCCATGTTTCTCTGAAGTTTCAGCTAAAGTTTGTGTCTTTTCCATCATTTCTTTTTCGGTCTGAGACTGGGGCTGAGACCACTGAATGACTCTGAAGTTGCTGGGAGTTGGTTTTTGGGTTTATGGAGAAATTTAGTATCTTTCTGTTGGTTGCAGTTATGCTCAGATGATTGAATTGAATTGATGAGGTATTTAGGGCTTGTTGGGTAGTTCGAGCTTTGATTGACATGTTTTAAAACCTTTGTTTGCTGAACTAGCATGTTGTGCATATTGAGGTCTGGTTCACTGTAGTTATGAGACTGATTGTGTCTACATCAATGACATTAGTGCAATTGAATTCCACCAGGCCTCCACTCAAACGGGTGCTGCTGGATCTGATCCGATACTGAATAAGATTTCAGCTTTCAAAGATGCATGCTGGAGATTTTTGAGGCCCCATACGATACGGGGAACATTTTTAGGATCTGTGTAAGAACTTATGACTTTAAGCACATTGGTTTAATTTGGTAAGTTGCTTTCTTTTCCAATAGCATCCCGTTATTCCTTAGTTGAAGGTCATCCCTTGTTGTGTTGGCAGTGCTCTGGTGGCAAGAGCGTTAATTGAAAATCCAAATTTGATTAAGTGGTCGCTGGTGCCTAAGGCATTTTCTGGTCTTATAGCTCTGATTTGTGGAAATGGTTATATTGTTGGCATCAATCAGATCTATGACATTGGAATTGACAAGTAAGTTACACTTGTATGTACAGTTATTTCAGTTTTTGTATAAAATATGAGGAAACAACTTGCATAATAGCTTGATATATAATTTTGACATCTAAGCAACACAAGTGGACCTGTTACACATTATAGGGTTTAATGTGTAGCATAAACTTGGCTATGATCTTGAAAATGTCTGAGTTTAGAAGCATGTTTCTGTTGTCTAAAATGTGGCATAGCCAGATTATCCTGATTCAGCATCTGATTCCCCAAACTCCAAATTTCATTTCTAAAATGTGCTGGAAGATATAGCTGACTTCTCAGATTTAATATTTTTGTTGTAGGTCATGTAGGAAAGCTATACAATTTAAGACTTGCTAATGGAAAATTAGAAATTAAGATATTCTTTTTGTTTTATATTTAAGAAATTACAAATAAAAGTATGTAAAGTTCTTTGATTTTTGCTTTTCTGTGTCCTATTTGCAGGGTAAACAAGCCTTACTTGCCTATTGCTGCAGGGGACCTTTCAGTTCAATCTGCATGGTCCTTGGTGATACTTTTTGCAGTAATCGGCCTTCTGATTGTTGGATTTAACTTTGGCCTATTCATCACATCTCTTTACTGCCTTGGTCTTTTCCTGGGAACCATCTATTCTGTTCCTCCATTTAGAATGAAGAGATTCCCAGTTGCAGCATTTCTTATAATTGCTACGGTATTTATTCTTCTATGAAACATAAGACTGCTTCTAGTTGCAGATATGTATTCCATTAGACAAGAGATCAGCCAAAAGTAACTTTTGCAGGTGCGGGGGTTCCTTCTCAATTTTGGGGTATACTATGCTACAAGATCTGCTCTTGGATTACCATTTGAATGGAGGTTTGTAACCATTGTTCCCAAGTTGATTCTTAATGTTGTGAAGGAATATACATTCCTATAACTTTGTGTGTAGAATTTTGCAAGTTTGAACAGATTGCCTAACCATACTATCTGCCTTGACCTATCAAATCTGGTTAATGAATTAGAAAATGAACAACAGTCTAAGAGACTAATCTGACTTATAAATAGACAACTTATATAATTTTGTCATGTTAGCTTTTAGCATCACGTGGTCCAACAGATGGAAAGTTTTCATGTTGTATGGTCTTTCCTGTCTGGTTCAATTAATGAAATGTTGGAGTCATTACAGTTGGCAATTTGGAATATATTAGTAATCTTCATGGTTTAGCAAAAAAGTACCCACTTGGTATCTAGATCTATTTTAACAAAGAGAATGAAAACAATGAAATCAGTTATTTTCTGTGTTTGTGTAATTTGTATCTGCTGGTTTCAGTTTCATGTTTTTGCTTCAAATTCTGACTGCAGTGCACCTGTGGCTTTCATCACAACATTTGTTACATTGTTTGCACTGGTTATTGCCATAACTAAGGATCTTCCAGATGTAGAGGGAGATCGAAAGTAAGCTATCTGAACTCTGACCTACTTGATATGTCTGTTATTTAATTGTTTATCTAGTCTATCTATCAACTCTGCTGATATTTCAATTGCATTTATGAATGGCAAGTCAAAGTGTGGCTATTTATCTTGATCTTTTCATTGACAACCTCAGTTCTTGATTTCCTATCTTTTCAAAATTTCTCTCCTTTATATATTGATTCAATATCCATTTATTATAATCATGTACAGATTTCAAATATCAACCTTCGCAACAAAGCTTGGAGTTAGAAACATTGCCTTTCTTGGTTCTGGGCTTTTACTGGTGAATTATGTTGCTGCTGTGTTGGCAGCAATATATATGCCTCAGGTGAACAAATCTTCCCTTGACATATCTTTGCATTTTTTTGTTCACAATTTATCCTGATGGATCATCAGGTTCTTAATTTACATAAGCATATCTTATGAAAGAACTGGAGCATTTGCTTGGATTTCCATATTTGTTTTGAACAAAGATCATCCAAGATGATAAGTCTTTCATTTGCATGTTTTACAGGCTTTCAGGCGTAGTTTAATGCTACCAGCACATATTTGTTTGGCAACATGCTTAATTTTCCAGGTGTGTCTGAGCTCTTCCAAACAATGAAATAACTAGAAATGATGATTTGTTTGAATCATTTGATCGCTTCTATTTAATTTACCCCTCTTCTTCCCCCCTTCTTTTGTCGTTCGAGGAGGAGGCAGTATTGTTATTTCAAATGTATATAAGATACTTTGACACTTGACATGATTAACAATTAATCATGCTTTTTTTATAAAAATTTTTGTAAACCAAATTCCAGAATGAAAATGAGCATATTCTCATAAGGATGATGACTACACCCTACAGCTACAGCTGCAAGATTTTGTGTTCTTTTGCATTTCTGGTTTAAGTCTTTTGACATATTTTGTTTCAAAATTCACATTCTCTAATACAAAATTTTATTTCAATATGGATTCAGGCATGGATTCTGGAACGGGCAAATTATGCCAAGGTAATTCCTAGCAAACTCTCAGATAATTTATTTTTTACTGTGATATACCGCACTCTTTAAGTTTGACATGCATAAAGTAAAGCTGAGTACAAGGTTATTCAATTTGCTTCACGGGCACATTAGCATCAGTTTAATTAGATTGCAGACAATTTAATATGTCCTTTAAATGCAACAGTTTTGCTTATGCCTTGAGACTGAGAGAATGTTTGGTGGTGTTTTTGCAGGAAGCAATCCAAGGGTTCTATCGCTTTATATGGAATCTGTTCTATGCTGAGTATGCAATATTTCCGTTCATCTAGAGTTTTCTTTTTATATTTCTCTTTGTGAGGGAGTGAAATTTATGTAAATATCAGCAAGATTTTGCCATTAATACATTTGTAATTGATTTTCTAACATCATGCAAGACTTTGCCACATTTTTGTTCAAAGAAAAGACGGATTTTTCCAAGCTCCTATTCACGCGTCCCAAGGTACAAACTTTAAACTTGTAATTTGGAGTTTCAAACTCTTATCAGTTAAGGGATCACTTATTATTATAATAAAGCATTCAAGTACCAAGACCCTATTCAATAAGATGGTGTATACTTCTGATTGACGAAGTCGTTCAGGTATTCTGTTTGAAGATCTTTTCTGGGAAGTTTCTGCATCAACTCGAAATGGTTGCTCCTTAGATGACTAGCAATTTCAGAGTATTTATCCATCACCATTCACCAAGTTGAAAGCTTTACTCAAACTTTCTTCTACAATTCACACACACTGACTTGGCTCGAATTCTAGCAGTCATCACGCTCATTTCTCTTTTAGCTACTTGCTCTGTTTTTCAGGTAGGAGATGCCCTCTTAGCAACACAGGCTTTCAAAATTGTTGTTCCCCAACCTTACGCTACATTCCAAGGACAATTCCACCACTCTGTTTAAATCTGGCTGTTAGGCATTCGCATTTAGGCATCCGAGTTCTGAAATCTTCCACCAGGAATATTTTGGCTGCTGCAGACGCTTCAGTTTTCAGTTTACCGAGGAAGGGATATCCATTTCTTCCCCTACGGTCATGGTTTCAACTTAATCTTGGGTTAGATCAAGAGCAGGAGAAAGGTGATTGTGAAGAGGCAGAGGCAGATTTGATGCAGTCTCAGTGCTCGTAGGGAGGCCATGGAGATAGGGAATGACGGGGGAAGAAACGTACTCAGGTTTTGATGTTGGGTTCCAACTTTTGCTGTGCTCCTCCCAGCAGCAAAAAGGATGCAAGTATATTATTGGAGAGCTGAAGGTAAGGGATGACATGACCGGAAACCAAACATCCAATATATAAATGCTCCTTTTCTTCTAAACGAATGGCAGAGAACCTGATAAGCAATTTCATTTTCTTTTTTTATCAGCCCCTTTCATTTAATTTAGTGGTTCCATTTCCTCAATGTGGTCTACAGGAAAGAGAAAAAGAAAATCTGTAAAGCCTGGCATTCGAAGGGCACAAAAGCATGCCTATATCTTCTCTTTCTACACAGCATGAAATAATGAATCAACTGCATGTTAATCTAAATGTAGTCTATGGTGCTGCTGTTTAAGAGTCTGAACAATGGGGACTTTTGGTTGCACCTGATCTTCTATTTAATGGAGCTATCGTTGGAAACTTTGGGCTAAAACGTGTCGTTGTCTGAGGAGATGGGCAAGATGTTCTTTCCCTTGGAGACAAGCATGCTTGCTCTAAAACTCTCAACTGAAGCTCAGAAGGGTAATCCCTCATGCAGCTAATCCGAGGTCCAGCTCCTGTTGACCATTTGGATGATAATTGCTGAGCTAATTGATATGACTTCATTCCTTTATGTGAATCTATCCTCTTCACGATTTTCTCTTTTGGCACTGGCTTCTCATCTTCCTCTTCATCATCTGACAAGTTGGCTTTGGGGAACATGAACTCTTCCTCAGGTAAAATTTCTTCTGCTGTTTCATAACCATCATCTGAATAGGCTTCTGGACGTTCACCACGCCAACTTGGTGGATGTTCACCGCAACAACTTGGTGGTAGCGATGACTCCTTGAAAATGTCAATCACCTCATGTTTTTCTGGTATGTGAAGTTTAGATATCTTTGAGAATAATCCTCGAGACAATCTTGACATGGGTTGATTGGCGTGTCCTGCAGCGTCTGTGTCTTGCTTTCTTGAATCAATTTTCTCTTCAGCTGCGTTTTCAAAGCATGTTGCTTCAACCTCTTGTGAGACTACTGCTTCTTGTTGGTTTCTTTGGAGGCTACTGACCTTTCTGATGATAATTTGTTCATCATCTTCTGAAGGGCTTTTCTGTATGGTGAAAAAGAGAGAACTGGATCAGCGCTCAACTCTATCTCAGTTACATGACAACGGCAAACTCATGATAAATATTTGCTACAAACTCCAGCAAATAGTTTCCACACAACATTTAAAGGTAGAGCATTAACTATTGAAGTGATATAGGCTCAGGGACAACAAAACTACTTATATCTTGCTAATCCATTTGTTCCTTCTACAGAACTCTATTCCCTGTTTTATGGCAGATGTTGCCTCTATTGGACAATTAATCGATGAATATGTGTTTTTTTACCTTTACATTTGTTAGATCTACATTCTGTTCCAGAAGAAATGACATGAACTCCTGAAAATTTTCTTCTGTTGGGAGGTAATGTCCACTGTGAGGCCATACTGCCTATTAAATTGCAATCATATCAAAACGTCAAACCAAAGATATAAAACAAAAAGAAAAATCTATTCATTCAGCTTTCGTGAACAATGAAATTCTTCATTTCATACCTGCAGAATACCATCTTCCACAACCAGTCGTCCAGCAGATAATGTTGCTCCACCAGCAAGAAAACTTGAGTGCTGAAATGTGCCCTTTTTCTTCTGACCAACATATAGGGTTTTGGATGTGCTAAGGACAAAGATCCACTTGGTACCTTTGGGTCCTTCCCTTGTATCAAGAAGTTTCCCACTTTTCTTGTGAACAAACTTCCCATTTTCTATCACCACTTCATAAGACTGTCTTTCTCTCTGCAAACAGAGATTTGCGTATTTATAAGCAGATTTCAACTCTAAAAATGAAAATCACTATTTATTTCAATTTGTGCCGATCCCAGAGAACAAATAGAGATTGAAACTTTATAATCATATCCACTTTCATTATTTGTAATTCATCACTGAAATGTTTTTTGTACTTTTTTTACCATACTGGAATTGCTTGTGAGCCAAAACTTATATTTCCAATTCTGTAAAAACAAACATGCAAAGTTACAAATGGATATCATACTCACAGGACCGAGATATTTAACGCATTGCTGCTGAAGCTTTGACCTGGGACACCTCTCAAGATTGCTTTCTTTCCCTTCTCCTATATCAAGCCTGCATGGTTGAATTTGACAGATCAGTTTGCTTGGTTGTTGCAAAGCAAAGGGCCTGATTCTTTCATTTTGCTTTTGGTCCAAAGAAATCTTACCAATAGAAAAAGGGCTGCTTGCTCTCACAATGGAGCCAATTGGCATAGTAAAATTGAAGATTGTGGCCATAGCGATGCCGAGGATCAATCTATTAGCAAGAAGGAAAGGAGTCCAATACAAAGACCAAAAGGCAACTATATCTAATCTGAAGTTTTATTCTTAAAATGGCACTTACTGCTTCAAGCCAATGCTGTAGAGCAAGCTTACGAGCCTTTTCATCCTTAGATAAACCTTTTCCCACCTGCAAAGGAAGAGAAATGCTCATAACCAGAAATAACAGCCAATTTGGTTAAGAGTATGGCATAACCTTTGCTACAACTTACCTTTGCAGCTCTTGTTCTTGCTCTAGACCAACGTGAAATAGCAGTCTCTGGTTTCTCAATGTTAAAGAATGATATAGAGCTCCGCTTGAGTTCAGCAAAATCTAACAGCTTCCACCTACAAGATGCAGATTAGAATTAAAACCTAATTGAAATATGATGAAACATTGGCCAACCGACAGATATAAAAACATTTCACATTTCCCTATTTGCAGAGAAATATGGATCAATTTCATATCATTCTAGTGTCCAACTCCCCCAATAGACGACAGATACAGATAAAGCTTTGACTCACCATTTCTGCTCAGCAACAACAGCACAATCTGCTAGCTGCCTCCTGGTACGGAAACTCTTGTAGACTTTTTGCAATCTTAGTGCAGCCTCATATATTCTGCTGTCAGGCTCTGATGATTCTGAATGGAAGTTTCTCTTGGACGACCTATTTGATCTCTGCATGTTGGTGCCAACTGTATTTTTAAAACTCACTGATCTAAGAAACACCGGATTTTCCATATCTGCCCTAGGAGTCTTAAAGGAGAACATGGTCTCCAATTCCCTCCCATTAAAGCTTTGAGATCTTTCATCCATCATCTTTCCAGATCCAAAGGATGTCATCACAGTGCGTTCTGAATCACGGCCATTGAAACTGACTGACCGGAGTGCTTTCCTCATCTCTTCATCACTCAAACTAATTGATTTTACAAGAACCGCTTGAAAATGACTATCCAAATCATCGATATCACCAAGTGGGCATGAAAAGGATACTCCCATCTTTTCCAAAGAGTATTTAAAACTTGTAATTCCAACTATCCAAGATTCCAACCAACAGAATCTATGGGGTCTCTCTCGCTACCTATTAAAATGAATATGAATATTAGAAATCTCAAACAAGAAACTTCATAAAATCAAAGGCAGTAATTACGTGACAGAAAAACTACTATTTGTTAGATATTCATCCCTACAATCAGTACTAAAACGCAGTTAGATATCAATTGAACCAATAAAAAAAATGGAAATTCAAAAACCCAAGATTCATCCTCAGACATCAACTGAACCAATGTTAATCAAATGGTATACAAACAAAAGGCTTTAAAAAAAACAAGCTGCACAATTTTACAATTCCTCTAAAATCTTCATGCTTAACACTAAATAAGGGAAGGGGAAAGGGGAAAACAAAGAGGGAAAAGGAAGCAAACCAATGAAGCAACAAAATAACAAACATTCAGAATACAATAACATCAAGAATTCAACTGTATTTATCAAAATTCAAAATTCAAAATTCATTCCAGAAGGGAAAGCAAAGACAAACCCAGAAACCAGAGCACCATGTCTATAGCTATAATGTTCAGAGATAGCATCTCACAATGGATAGGAGAAAAGGGGGAGAACAAAGGAGCAGCAAAACAACAACCACCTAGAAGACAATATTGTCTATTCAAAATCATCTTTCTCACATGTGAGATCAAGAGTGTTTCTCTTAGCTCAGATTCATTCAAGGAGAGAGAGAGAAAACAAACATAAACCCAGAAACCAGAGAACCATTTCTTCGTTCCTCTGTTATACATATACTATTACAAGGGATGGAAAAATGGAAAACATAGAAGCAGATAAAAAGGAAAAAACACCCAGAAGACAAAATTGTCTCTTTTGTATACCATTCTCGAAATTTACATGAAGAATGCTTATCTTAACCCAAATTCATTCAAAAGAAAGAAAACAAACACAAACTCAAAAAACCAGAAATCCCAGAACAAAGAAAAGAAGCAAGCTTTACCATAATGTGAGGCAAAAAAGAGGACCAAAGAGGAGAAACGAGGTGGGGACAAAGAATAGGAAGAAGCAAAGGTAGAGAGAAACCCAGAGGGGAGAGAGATGAGAAAGTGGGTTAGGTAGCAATGTGAGAGAGAGCGAACAATGTGGGTGGATAGGAGGGGGCAGGGCCTAGATTTCTGAGGTTGAAGAGGAAGTTTGCAGGGTGGTTTTTGGTCTGAGGCTGAAAACTTTCCGGGGAAATTTTGGGTTCCTGAGAAAGTGCAAGATCAAGGAAGACGTTGGGTGCCTTTGCTATTCCTGCATTCTTCGTATATATAAACAAGGGAGGGAAGCAGGGAGCAGAGCAGCCCACAGCGTGTTGTGTACGGCATTCAGGAATCACGATCAACTATTTTTGACTTTTTTTTTTTTTTCACTGAAAATTCTCCAATGTAATCTTAGTTTAAGAATGGTTTTTAAAATTGAATTTCTCTTACCTGTTAGGGAGTTTTAAATGTATTATGTATATATATATTATCTTTGTTGTATATTTTTTATTTCATCTCATTTAAATATTATGTGATTTAAATTCAGATCTTTTATTTTCAATAAAAGAAAATGATTACTAAATTATTTAGATCATTGGCATATGTTTTATTTATTAATTTACATAAAAAATAAAAAAATTAACATTAATTTTAATATTTATGACATATAAATATTTGTTATTA